GTTAACCAATGTCATAAAACAATACATGTACTGACTTTAATGAGACACTATTTATTCTGTAAACCTTCACCTAAAGTACAATAAAAAAAAAAAAGACCAGATTTACTGGCCTGACAGAGACTGGAGAAACCCCAAGAGTATGGCCCCTAGACACCCTTTTAGCTCAGTGGCAAAGTCACTCCCGAGGTTCACCGTTCAGCCGGGGATTGGACAGCCCCATAAAACAAAACGGGACTAATGACGCACAGCAGTCCAGGGACAAGGACTAAAAGACAGGATGGGATAGGAAAGCTGATGATAGGGAACCCAAGACTGAGAAAGGACAGTGTTGTCATGTAATGGGGTTGTTAACCATTATCATAGGGCAGTATGTGTACTGTTTAATGAGAAACTATTCTGTTCCGTAAACCTTCATCTAAAGTACCAAAAAAAAAAAAAAGAATTATCTACATGAGATCAAATTGACAACAGCAACTCAAAAGGTTGATGGGAAGCCTAGGGGCCAGTGAATTGAAGATAAGGGTGATGGAATAATTTGGAAAAGGATAGTGAGAATAGCAGCACAACTGGAAGAACGTAATCGATGTCACTGAATTGTACATGTAGAAATTTTTGAAATGGTGTATCTTTGGCTATGTATATTTTCACCAAAAAAGAAAAAAGGTCCTCCAAGTTCGAGAAGGGAGAGTGTTGACATGTCGTGGGGTTGTTAACCAATGTCATAAAACAATATGCGTACTGACTGTGTAATGAGAAACTATTTGTTCTGTAAACCTTCACTTAAAATACAATAAAAAAAAGTTTTTTTAAAAAAAATATATATATGTGTTGAAAATCCTAACCCCTATACCTGTGGTTATAATCCCATTTGAAAATGGGTTTTCTTTGTTAAGAGACCATGTCAATATAAGGTATGTTTAAGCCAATCCCCTTTGAGATATAAAAAGAGCAGATTCGACAGAGAAAGCAAGCAGAGACTGGGGAAGATAGATGCTATGGCACATGAAGAGCACCAAGAAATAGATGATGAAGAGATAAGAGACAAGGACCTTTCCCCAGAGACGACAGAGAGACAAAGCCTTCTCCTATAGCTAGCACCCTGAATTCGGACTTCTAGCCCCCTGAACTATAAAAAAATAAACTTGTGTTTGTTAAAGCGACTGACCTGAGGTATTTCTGTTATAACGGCACTAGATAACTAAGACACCTTCCCAGGAACCCGTCAATTTGTTCATATTAGAAATATTCTCTAATATCCTCCTGTTAAAAACGTTTCAAATTTCAAAGCTCACTCATCTCAAATGTCATTTCCATCAAGCCACACCCATAAGTAAGTCTCCCTCACCTAAACTCCTACAGAACTTCTGTAACAAGGCACTTACTGTAGTTTTGTTAAAAAAAAACAAACTACACTACTTGACTACAAGCTTGACTATAAGTTCCTCGAGGGCAGAAATCATGTTTCATTCTTTTTGTTTTTCAAAGGCCCTTGCCTGGTAGACTCACAAATACTGAACTACTTATAACCCTTAACTTTTTAAAAGGACATTTACTTTGATACACGTTGTTTCTTACATATGCATTCTCATTAATATACATATACCATATTGTGCATAACTCATACTGTATTTTGTAGACAGTTAAACTAAACTCAAACTCTTAGGGGCATCCCTACTTATCAAAATCTTACAATCATAAGTAGACTTCTGAAAAAAGAGTTTAAAAACTACACTAAAGAAGTAAAGCTGTTACTTCTTTCTTTATAAAAAATGACATTTCATAGTCATCACCAAAAATCTTTCACCATTTTATACACTTCATCTTCTTGCAAGGAGTTCAATGTCTGTTAAATGTTATAGTTCACAATGCTCTAAGAGCTTAAATCTATCTGAATTCCATTTTATTTCAGGCTTTAAGGAAATTCTGATCCTTACACAATCTCCAAAGGCTTTTCTCATGGGGAAAGACTTTACTTCTTGGCATACCTAACTTAGATGATTGGCATGAGAATCAAGTACGATTATATGTGAAAAGTCAATGAAAATTCCAATAGCAGTATATAAATGTAACAATCATCGTCTCCTGAATTCTGAATTTCAGGCATTTAAAATCATCTACTTACTACAACCTAATGCCATTAAACTGCACTGTCACATAAAAAAGATTTGCTTGCTGACAGGTTATAAAAAACTCAATAATCACCGCCCCATCTGGAGCAGGGGAGAATGAAGAAAACCAAAGACACAAGGGAAAGATTAGTCCAAAGGACTAATGGACCACAACTACCACAGCCTCCACCAGACTGAGTCCAGCACAACTAGATGGTGCCCGGCTACCACCACCGAATGCTTTGACACGGGTCACAAACGAGGGTCCCCGACAGAGCTAGACATAAATGTAGAACAAAATTCTAACTCACAAAAAAAAAGACCAGACTTACTGGCCTGACAGAGACTGGAGAAACCCCAAGAGTCTGGCTCCCAGACACCCTTTTAACTCAGTACTGAAGTCACTCCTGAGGTTCACCGTTCAGCCAAAGATTAGACAGTCCTATAAGACGAACAATAACACACGCAGTTCAACGATTTTTATGAGACTAAAAGAGCACACCAGCCCAGGAGCAACAACAAGAAGGCAGGAAGCGGCAGAAAAGCTGTACGAATGGAAATGGGAAACCCCAGGTCAAGAAGGAGAGAGGGTTGGCATGTCACAGGGTTAGCAACCAATGTCACAAAACAGTATGCATAGCCACTCCCACACAGAGTGGGGACTCCAGGATGTCTCTAGAACATGCCTTGTGGCCTTTTACCAGACTCCAACACAATGGGCCACCACCAGTGTGACTGCAGCACATCTTAACATGTACATTTCGATTTCTAAAATTTCAGTATCTGAACTCTGTAAACTAGTAACTTTTAGCTGAGAAAGGACAGCATGGAACCAGAGGTTCTCCGCACAACTATAAGCTATTTTACATTCCTTTCTTTCTGCCATTCCCTCTCCAACTGAAATACAGAGGGAAGGACACCTGCCTATGATCGTTTAATGAGCTTTTCAAGGAAGAAATATTATATATTGTTTTCTTTGTTAAAATTTATCGAAATAAAGATGCATTCAAATCTTAAAAAAAAACAGTATATGTATTGTTTAATGAGAAATTAATTTGCTCTGTAAACTTTCACCTACAGAAAAAAAAAGAACCCAATAACCAGAAAGTTAGCAATAAAGTAGATCAAGAATAAGAAGCAATATATTATCCCCTTTGCATACAGTAAGAGGTCAAATATTTTATTCCTGGAGTATTTTTTGTACTGTCCTTTTTTTCAATCCTGCCAAAGTAAATGAAATAACAAAAAGCTTCTAAAATAGTGCAACTATTGTTGTGTTGTTACATGTCATCAAGTTGGTTCCAACTATAGTGACTCTATGTACAACAGAACAAAACACTCCCAGGTCCTGCTGCCATTCTCACAATCATTGCTATGTTTGAGCCCATTGTTGCAGCCACTGTGTCAATTCATCTCGTTGAGGGTCTTCCTCTTCTTCACTGACCCTATACTTTACTAATCATGATGTTCTTCTCTAGGGATTGGTCCTTCCTGATAACATGTCCAAATTACATGAGATGAAGTCTTTCCGTCCTCGCCTCTAAAGAGCACTCTGGCTGTACTTCTTCCAAGACAGATTTGTTTGTTCTTCTGGCAGCACATGGTATATTCAATATTCTCTGCCAACACCAGAATTCAAAGACATCAATTCTTCTTTGGTCTTCCTTATTCATTGTCCAGCTTTCACATGTAAGATGTTAATGCGTATTTCTCCAATCCTGATGCCGCATTCTTCTTCATATAGTCCAGCTTCTTGGGTTATTACTATTACTTTTTTTTTTTTTTAATTAGCATCATCCTTCAGTAAGATTTCTACTATTATCCTTACGTGTATTAATAGGGTAAATTCACCAACCATATTTATATTAGGTTCAAATCAAATAGCCTACTATGATAATCTGATTGGTCAGACTTTCCAGATGATACACGTGTCCTGTCTTGACCAGAAACAACTTGGACTGCCTCATTACTTTTCAAAACAGATTTTTCTTAAAGGAAAAATAATCTGATTAAACCATAAAACTGTATAATTCCACATATCTACTAAGAAAGAAACCTGGGGATCCTTGTGGTAAAATTCATCCTCAATTCAGAATCTACGTTCCTGCCAGGATGTCCCCCGCTAGCTCAATTTTCCAGGCTTAATAGCGATGATATGAGAATATAAACCCTAAAAATACTTAAGTTGATTACAAAACACTTAGAAGAATTTCATCCAATAGCCCAACTTGCACCCTGTAAATACACATACGAAAAGCGTTTTGGAGTTGACAAATATCTATCAGTGAAGGTTTGGGAAACCACACACTATGGAAATCTGACCCAAACAAAAGCTGCAGATAGACGGTAAGCGGTAACCTCTAAACAGTATCAGATAGCAGTGGAAGAAAAATTCCAGGGACGATGATACCTAGGCTTTCCGGTTCATAACACTGAATAACGGGGCCGCACTATCCGGTACGGCAACCCCAATTGCGCCGCAAAGCGAAACCAGAACCAAGGTGCTGGCGCGCTGCGGGACTTTCAGTCGTCGGTGCCCACCTAGAGAGGCTGGCGACCCGGATAGGGAAGAAAGAGAAAAGGAGCGCAGCCCCTCTCCCGAGCTCAGGCTTCACAGGGGAGCGCCCCCTCCAGACCCTTCCTCAAATCAACTGCAGATTAGCGTCCTCCCCTGATCCCCGGCGTGAAGGCCACCGGCTCAACCCTGCTACGCAGGGCACTGAGGAGCCGAGGCCTCCTTTCCGCCCGCACCGCCCCACCTCTCCCGACCGAGAGGCCGCTGCAGTAGCCGCAGCCGCAGCCCGGCGGGCAGTAGCAAGAACGGAGACCGGCCGCCGGTGGCTGGCGAGGCGCCCTTCGGCCCCGCGCCCCTCCCAACAACACTGCACCCACCTCCACAGCCTTCCTCGCGGGCCCCGCCTGCGCGGCCAACAGCGGCCTGCGACCGCACCTCTATGAGCGCTTCTTTTCCTCCTCTAGCCTAGGAGACGAGCTGTCTTGCGTCCGCACCGGGTTCCAGCGTTACCCGCGGAATCCCCGCCTCCCGAACCCTCCACTTCCCGCATTAGCCGCGGCTCCTTCCGGTACCTCCTCGTTCGCCGCAGGCGCCTCGGGCGTCGAGGGAGGAGGGAAGGGGCAGGGCTTCTGGGAGAGCCCGACCAAGGGGTGGGGCCGCGGCGGCGAGCCGGGACCAGGTGCAGATACCCAAGCTGCCCTCTCAGCTGGGACTTCAAAGGTAACGTAGCTGTATGTACAAGGGTCAGGTACGTACGAAGCAGTTTATGACTCTAGACATTTTTCGCTTTCACACACTTTCCCTATTCCACAGTCACACTACAACCATTGTAAGGTCTTGTTTCAATGCATTACAGAAACTTGAATTAAGGGCCTCAGTTTTCCATCCTTGTGAAAAGAAATATTAGATTTAATTTAATTCATTACTATATTTCCTCCTCTCCTTTTTCCTAATCCAACTTCTTCGGACCTAGATTCTCTGGAGGCAGTTGTGTTTCCCTTTTTTTGACATCTGCAAAGAAGAAATTCATCTCTACCAGTTTCTTCTAGGCCAAAATAAAAAAAGATCAAATCAAATATTTATGGAAACGGGTATTTGCCTAGTGCCTAGAGGGTTAGAGGAGACCTAACCAATTCATGTAACTGTTAGATTCATTCCATTGCTTGTTTAATAAATGATCAGTAAAAACAGTTAAATTAATAACAATTGTTGTTAAACATTACCAGTTTCAACCTGTCAGGTCACCTCTAAATTTTTGGTCTCCAATATGAGATGTACCCAAATGCTGTTTCAGATGCTCAGTCTCCATCAGAAACAGGTAGAAAATAATGGAGCTTCTGATTAAATTTTTTTAGGGTAAAAAGGGAACAAATTACCCTTTCCCAACATTCTAAATAGGCATTGATGTTGAGGCCTCAGTTTGTGCCACAAACGGGCACTTATGCTGGGTTCACTGAGAGAGAATGAAAGTTTCACAGTTTGGAAAGTGCTCATGATGCTACCATTCCTCCCTTCATTTTTTGGCATATTTCAAAATAGTGCAGTTTAACACTACAGGATGTTAGCAAAGTGATTAATTTTATTTTATAAAAAATTAAACATCTTAATGTTTTAAATATCTATAGTCTTTGTGAAAGGACAAAGGAATGATCATTAAAATAACTTCCTCCCTGGTGTCTTGTGGCAACAGGACACCCCTGATATATGTTGCAGTATCTACCTGTTTCCACCACGCGTCTGTCAGTTTGTCTTGCGTGTTGCTGTGATGCTAGAAGCTATGCCACTGGTATTTCATATACCAGCAGGGTCATCCATAATGGACAAGTTCCAGGAGAGCTTCCAGACTAAGACAGACTTGGAAGAAGGACCTGACAATCTACTTATGAAAAACAGGCCACTGAAACCCTTATGAATAGCAGTGAAACGTTATCTGATATGGTGCCAGAGGACGAGCCCCTCAAGTTGGAAGACACTCAAAATATGACTGGGGAAGAGTTGCTTCCTCAAAATAGAGTTGAACTTTATCATGTGGATGTAGTAAAGCTTTCAGGACCTTCACTTGCTGATGCGGCACGAATCAAAGTGAGAATACACTGCTGCAAATATCCATTAATGATCAGAATGTGAATGTACAAAGTTCGAATCTAGGAAAATTAGAAGTTCTCAAAAATGAAATGGAATGCTTGAAGATAGATATCCTAGGCATTAGTGAGCTAAAATAGACTGGTATTAGCCATTTTGAATCAGGCAATCATATGGTCTACTATGCTGGTAATGACAAACTGAAGAGGAAGAGTGTCGTGTTCATTGTCAAAAAGAACATTTGGAGATCTATCCTGAAGTACAACACTGTCAGTGATAGGATAATATCCATATGCCTACAAGGAAGACTAGTTAATACAGCTTATTATTCAAATTTACGCACCAAACATGAATGCCAAAAGATGAAGAAATTGAAGATTTTTACCAACTTCTGCAGTCAGAAATTGATCAAACATGCAATCAGGATACATTGATAATTGCTGGTGATTGCAATGCAAAAGTTGGAAACAAAGAAGCAGTAGTTGGATAAGATGGCCTTGGCGATAGAAACAACGCCGGAGATTGCATGATAGAATTTTGCAACACCAGTGACCTATTCATTGGAAATACTTGTCTTCAACAACATAAACAGTGACTATACAAGTAGTCCTCAGCAAATGGAATACACAGGAATGAAATCAGCTACATCTGTGGAAAGAGTTGATGGAGAAGCTCAATATCATCAGTCAGAGCAAGGCCAAGGGCCAACTCCAGAACACACCATCAATTGCTCATATGCAAGTTCAAGTTGAAGCTGAGGAAAATTAAAACAAGTCCACAAGAACCAAAGTACAACCTTGAGTATATCCCACCTGAATTTAGAGACCATATCAAGAATAGGTTTGAGGCATTGAGCACTAATGACCGAAGACCAGACAAGTTGTGGGATGACATCAAGGACATCATACGCGAAGAAAGCAAAGGTCATTGAAAAGACAGGAAAGAAAGAAGACAAAAATGGATGTCAGAAGAAACTCTGTAACTTGTTCTTGAATGTAGAGAAGCTAAAGTGAATGGAAGAAATGATTAACAGAGGATTTCAAAGGGCAGCTTGAGAAGACAAAGTAAAGTATTATAATGAAATGTGCAAAAACCTGGAGTTAGAAAACCAAAAGGGAAGAACACGCTTGACATTTCTCAAACTGAAAGAACTGAAGAAAAAACTCAAGCCTCAAGTTGCAATATTGAAGGATTCTATGGGCAAAATATTGAATGACACAGGAAGCATCAAAGGAAGATGGAAAGAATACACAAAGTCACTGTACCAAAAAGAATTGGTCAACATTCTACCATTTCAGAGGCAGCATATGATCAAGAGCAAGTATACTGAAGGAAGAACTCCAGTCTGATCTGAAGGCATTGGTGAAAAACAAGGCTCCAGAAATTGACAGAATACCAATTGAGATGTTTCAGCAAAGGGATGCAACACTGGAAATGCTCACTCATCTATGCTAAGAAATTTGGAAGACAGCTACCTGGCCAACCAACTGGAAGAGATTCATATTTGCACCTATCCCAAAAAAAGGTGACCCAACAGAATACAGAAATTACTGAATAATATCATTAATATCACATGGAAGTAAAATTTCACTGAAGATCATTCAAAAGTGGTTACAGCAGTACATTGACAGGAAACTGCCAAATAACCCGAGAAGCTGGGCTATATGAGGAAGAACGCAGCATCAGGATTGGAGGAAGATTTATTAACAACCAGAGATATGCACATGATACAACATTGCTTGCTCAAAGTGAAGAGAACTTGAAGCACTTACTGATGAAGATCAAAGACTACAGCCTTCAGTATGGATTACACTTCAACATAAGAAAAACAAAAGTCCTCAGAACTAGACCAATAAGCAACATCATGATAAACGGTGAAGATATTGAAGTGGCCAAGGATTTTCTTTTACTTAAATCCACAATCAACGCCCATGGAAACGGTGGTCAAGAAATCAAATGATGTATTGCATTCGGCAAATTTGCTGTAAAAAAAAAAAATCTCTTTAAAGTGTTAAAAAGCAAAGATGTCACTTTGAGAACTAAAGTGTGCCTGACCTAAGCCATGGTATTTTCATTCACCTCATATGCATGGGAAAGCTGGAGAAGGAATAAGGAAGACCAAATAAGAATTGATTCATTTGAATTACGGCATTGGGAAAAAATATTGAATATACAGGCAGTCTCTGGGTTAGGAACTTCTGACTTAAGGGCACCTTATACTTGCCCTGTAATGTTATGTAAATTTGCCCTCACTTTGAAACTATTGAACCAACTTCTACTCACAACAGATTCGTCATCACAATCACCTTCACTGCTACATGTGAACCTTTTAAATCATTGAAACGGCTTTGAACTTTTTCTTGACCTTAATCACCTGTCTTAATTATTGATGCTACTGTAACAGAAATATAAACAGGTGGCTTTGACAAACAAAGTTATTTTCTCACAGTTTAGGAGACTAGAAGTCCAAAATCAGAGAGCCAGCTCTAGGAGAAGACTTTCTCTGTTGGGTCTCAAGGAAGGTCCTTGTCTCTTCTGAGCTTCTGTTCTTGGCAGTCTTCAAGTGGCTTAGAATATCTTTTCCCCCATCTCTGCTTGCTAGCTTGCATTTAGTCTCTTATATCTCAAAAGAGATTGACTCAAAGTTCACCCTACACTAATCCTTCCTCATTAACATAACAAAGACAACCCATTACCAAATGAAATTATAACTACACACGTAGAGGTTAGGAATTACAACACATATTTTAGGGGCACACAATTCAATCCATAACGTTCTATCCTTTGCCCCCCAAAATGCATGTCATTCCCACATGCAAAACACATTTACTCCATCACATCATCCCAAAAGAAGTAAATCAACTCCAAATCTTCAGATTTGCCTTCAAGGCCAACTGGAATGGCAACTCTACGCCCTCGACTTTGAGCGGCCCCATTCTCCTAGTCCATCTGCGTGGCAACCCCACCCACTCAGTCCCAGCAAGCCCTGTTCTGCCCCTGCGGCATGGGAGCCCCACCCCCTCAGCTTTGGGCAGTGGCACCATCCCCTGGCACACCTTAATGGCAGCCTCACACTTAAACTGTGTTGGCAAAGATCCAACTCTGAAACCTAGGAGGCTGTGGCCCCACCCTTTGAGATCCAGGAGACCACGGCCCCACCTTTTGAAACTGAGAAGACCCTTCTTCCTGTGCTCCTTCCGACAGTTCTACTAATCTCCAACTGCTCCAGGGATTGTCCTTTTCTTTTCTTGGAAGACAAGACGTATCTCCTCTGGCCTATTTCCTGCCTGTGGAATTCCAAGAGGCCTAGGGCATTCTTTCCTTTCATTCTTCCTCTGTCCCCTTCAGTCTAAGCTGATGGATTTTCTGTTGTGGTAGTTGGTTAGATACACCTGCCACAGGCTTAATCTCTTTAACAGTGTTCCTTGGTGAACATTGTAGGACACGTGT